ATCTCTTTATTTTTGGAGGTTTAAAATTTCAATCCAAATTATAACGAAATAAACATTTCAATCTGATGTATTAAAAACGATTTGACGTTGTTGTCCTATGAAACCTATCTCGTCAGCTCAACGTTCAAAAAAAAATTTTTTTTTGAAGAAAATAAGCGAAAATACGTTCACAATTTGATTTTTTTTTGGCTTTTTTGTGCGTTCATGATTTTATTTCGTCATCTCAACGGTCACATTACTGTTTTTAAGAAAAAAAGAATTATGATGCTATGATATTGCAATTTGCGTGTTTGTTACACTATTCTCCAGACTACCTTGTGCCGCATTCACAATTTTTTTTAAGTTCTCAAATAAAGATTTGTCCCCAATGTAAATAACAAATTCAGTTTTATCTTCTTGGAAAGGATGAGCCCACCTTTGTCTTTGCCTTGGTAAGGGATCGGTGATTCAAAAAATTCTACTTTCTCAAAGTTAGGATCGACAATCCAATATGAATTCATCAAATTTTAATCCGATTTGATTTTATAAGATCATTTTTTTAATTGATTCGATTCAATCTTATAAAATTATTTTTTAATCAACTTTTCAGTCAATTTTCTTTTTTTTTTTTATATAAGTAGGATCGAAGGTAAATTTGTTCCTATTCGATTTGGTATATATATAAAATATCTTTCATTATTTATTTAATTTTATATTTATATTTTTAAAAAATATTTTATTAATTTTAGGTTGAATCCATTGCGATTTTATGTATAAGTGAATCGGAATATATAAAAAATAACATTTTAATATCGAATTGAATATTTATTATATAAAATTAAATTAAATTCGAAACGAGCAAAAATTCACTCCAATTCGACCCGTTATCATTTCTTCCCAAAATTTGTCCCATTGTCCTTTCTATATGAAAAAAAACATTTAAACATTTCCAGCCAACTTCAAAGTTCAATGGATTTCATTTATAACTGCTATCATATAATAAAATTTGTTGTAATTGTAAATCAGCACAACCATATTGAATTTCTTGTAGTATTTAAGGAGCTTCATTGTTACGAGATAACCTACACCTGATAGAAAAGCAAGAGAAAAAGATGGAGAAGGAAGCTATGGCAACTGAGGCACCCAAAGCACCATTGACTAGTGAAAGGAGGGTTCGAGATGACCTGGAAGAAAAATTACCAAAACCCTGTAAATTTTTCTTTGTTTATTTCTTGTTCCTTTTGGTTTCAATTTTCATTTGTTGCAAAACTACCCATATTTATTTCCTGTGATGAAGCATTAGTTTTACAATATGTGAGTAGAATGTCCTCTCAAACCTTTTACATTTCAATTTTTAGCAATTCTACAATCTCTATAGAATCACACATTCACAACTCAATCTAATGTGTCAGTTTTTTTTTTTTTTTTTTCATTGACTAACCGAAAGTATGGAATCAGATTTGGCTAGAGCACTGGTAGCTCCTGATGTGGATCATCCAAGTGGAACACCAGGACATCACAACAATGGAATGAGCGTTCTTCAGCAACATGTTTCCTTTTTTGATCAAGACAACAATGGAATTGTTTATCCCTGGGAAACTTACAGAGGTTAATTTTACCGGATTCCAATCTGAGTTTTTTTTCCTCCAATTTAATTTCATTTTTATTTTACTGTTTTTGACAAAATTTATCTTCACTATGTAAAAACCGGGCATCCGAGATCTTGGTTTCAATCCAATTTCCTCTCTTTTTATAGCAATTGTCATCAATTTTGGATTGAGTTATCTCACTCTCCCCGTAAGTAATTGTGCTTCTCTGTGTGTTCTGTGTGTGTGCGCGTGTGTATATAGATATACCAACCAAATTGCTGATTTTGCATTGACAATTTTCACAGGGGTGGCTGCCAAATCTGCTATTTCCCATATACATAGACAGAATACACAAAGCAAAGCATGGGAGTGATTCAGCAACATTTGACACTCAAGGAAGGTTAGCATAAAAAGTTCTGATAAATTTGGAACACTAAAAACATAAAGCTAGAAAATATGCAATGGGTTTCAGGTTTATGCCAGTGAACCTTGAGAACATTTTTAGCAAGTACGCTCGGACAGAGCCTGATAAGTTAACTTTCGGAGAGGTGTGGCGGATGACTGAGGTAAATCGGATGGCATATGACTTCAATGGCTGGTTTGTTCAAGGACCCTTGTGTTGAAATTCGAGTCTTTGATTCAAGAATGCTTTGTTTTAGAATGCTTCTTTTTCGGATAAATATCTCACATCAGTTTCTAACTTTTGAATTGTTCCACTTGAATTGAAGGCTTGTATCCAAGGCAGAATGGATGCTTTTGTATACCCTTGCAAAGGATCAGAATGGTTTTCTGTCTAAAGAAGCTGTAAGGGGGTGTTTTGATGGGAGTTTGTTTGAGTACTGTGCCAAAATGAACAAGGCTGGTGACAGAAAGAGCCGCTAAATAAAGCAGTGGTGGCTGCTGGTACAAGCAGCAGCAGCAACTATCAGCAAATGCTGCTTCCTATCCCCAGATTACCACTTCTGATTAAATAAGTGATGTAGAGTCGCTGAATAAAGCTGCGATAGCTGCTGGTATGAGCAGCGGAAACAACTATGAACGAATGCTACTTCCATTGCCCATGTTACCAGTTTTGATCAAATAAATAAGAGTTGTAGAGCCGCTGAATAAAGCAGTGGCAGCTGCTTGCATGAGCAGCAACAACTATGAACGAATGCTACTTCCTATCCCCATATTACCAGTTCCAATGAAATAAATGTGGTTTTTTTTTTGCTTAAAAGATAATAAAACCAATCAAATAGTGTTCTGCATGTTGCAGACCAAACACTAAAACTGCTATAGCAGCGTCATATAGATAACAATTAATAACATAACAATTAACATGAGCATACATCATATGTATCAAAAAGGCAATGGAATAAATAAACAAAACAATAGCCGAATATCTCATGAACATACTTGTATTTATGCTTGTAATCTAAAACTTTAATTATACACATCTTATTAGAATTATATCAGCACTCAAAGATATCGTAATCTCGAGTGAAACAGTCCTTGATTGCATATGATAACCAAAGAGATCAAGACCTACGCCATGCAAGTGCTTGGCTTCCAATGATAATCCATGCAGCAATTTTTGTCGAATCCTTTACAATGTGAGATTCTAATCTCGTGTTAGCAAATATTTGATTTCATTAATCAATTAGAAACCAATTCCTATCTTGGCCGAATGCCACAAGGTATTAAGGAGGAAGAATAAAAAACAAATTTTCTTGAGAAAAACACAAGAACAACTAAACCGGAGAAAATTGCCGATAGACTTGTGTGTGTGCGTGTGTGTTCATTATCATGATTTGGCCCAAAATTGTATAATTTATCTAAGGCCAAGAACAAATGGTATGTGTTCCCCCATATCACTCATGATAATAAATCCTCTTTTAACTAAATATTAAAAAATAACTCATATCCAACATATTTTAATTTATTCCAACTTAATAAAGTTGAATTTTTTAAAATCGAAGGTTGAGTTTTTTTAAGGTCAAGTTCAATTCAAAATCAAGTTTTAAGTGGCACCGCTCCGAAACAATTTGGATATATATAAAACTAATTTTTATTATTATTTAATTTTCTATTTATATATTTATTAAATTAATAAAATTATTATTAAATATTTTAATTTAAGATATTAACTTAATAAAAGTATTATATTTATGTATAATTAAACTATAATATATATTAAAAAAATATTTTATAAATATTATACTAAATTAAAATTATTAAATTAATTTCAATTTGGATTGATTGTGAGTTATGAATATACGAGTTGAGAATAAAAAATAATATTTTAATGTCAAGTAAGGTTTAGGTATAAATATTAAGGGGTCGGGTTGAGTAAAAACTTATCCCAATCCAACTTGTTGTCATCCTTACTCTTAACCAATCGTCTAGCTTTGCATGCTTCAAATCTCATCCAAATGCTCTATTTTTTGGCATCAAACATTCTGTCCCATAAAGGTGAAATTAAAATATGATAATTCACATATAAGATGACTTATTGTCTCTAGTCTAAAGATTAGTTGCACAGCTGACACATGAAAATATTTCTGTAAACATTGGAGTGAGCTATCACATGGAGTTCTTATGATAGGCTATATTGAATGAATTTGTTCTCTAACAAGCATTCACATATTATCCTAAATATTTTCATATTTTAACTTATAAGATAGGTTACTTATTTCACAAGTAAGAAGTCTTAATAGGTATTAATCTTTTAAGTATTGTTGATGTCTTATTTCAATAATACATTTGTTGGAAACAATTTTAGATACATGATTTTGATGCATAAAGATCTCAAAGTTATCTTTACAATTACTTTGCAAGGCTTTTGCACTCCATAAACTTTATTTAATTAGCATCTTAATAACTCTTTATCAAACCTTTTCAATCACTAAATTCATTGATTTTGTGTAACTTAATTGTATTTCCATTGACCAACTAATTGGCTCTAAGATATGTACACTAACACTTTCAACATTTCTATATCAAATTCTTGGTCATTTGTATTATTAGATAAATCTTTTACTTTTATTTGTCGTTTGCCTACTTGAGGTCAATTTCTTTTGGAAAAATGATTCAACAATCTCATTATCACCTTAAATATGAAGCAAGTCTTGTATTAATGCGAAGATCTAATCATTGTGTATTATAATGTAAAACATATATAAAATATGAAAATCGATCTATTATATATAAAATACATTTTTTAATTTTCACCAAACTCATGATTTTTGTCAAAAATTTAAACCATATTACTTTCATGTCTTTTTTTGGTATTATTTTTATAAAATTTTTATATTTCCCATTGGCTATGCTCAATAAATGGGGAATTATGTCTTAAAGGCAAGAGGAATTTGCTAAAAAGAAAAATTGAGCAAAAGATATATCCCTTTTTAAGTTAAATATAAATTTCTTGAAACATTCATTGCTTCATATTCGTGCAAGAAATGCCGTACTCATGTCTTGACAGTATAAACAAATTGTTGAAAATTCTTTGAGCCATAATGTACCCTAATTGACTCGAGATAAGGAACACCGCTACATGTCTCACCCAGCTAGATTTGATAATTTGTATATCCATATCCTTAGTTTCGTCTAAATTACCAGATTTACTGACGCGGCTATGTTATGCTTTATGGGTAAATTTTGATTACAGAACAGAGGCACAAGGATAGATATATCTCCAGTATGACATATTAAAAGGCCACATCCACATTGGAAAAGATCTCCACAAACTACATTCCATCTCCAAACTCAAGATCAAATCAGAACATCCAAATAATATTCTGAAGAAACAAAAACTTAATATATCAAAATCTTGATCCAGCAAACTATTAGTCCAATGCAGAGAAACAAAACCTCTAAAATTTGAATTCCTAAACAATGGCATTGGCTGCACTTGCAATCCTTGGCCACAGATCAGCACACTCCTTTCCAATTGGACCAGTTATAGCAGAACCTAGAACAATAGCATCAAGAAGAAAATGTTAAGTGTAATTATCATTTAATCCGGATGTTACAAAATTGGATGTTGTCCTGAATAATTGAAATGCCTTTGGATTGGCTGTCTACCTTTCATTTCTCCCTTTGGATTCACAATAACACCGGCATTATCTGTAATTGAAACAAGATTTCAATTAGAAAACAGTAAAACAAATGCAGTCTCTAAGCATAGACATCAATCTCATACAATTATCATGTAATCGAAACAAAATGAGCAATGGAAGACAAAGTTTAATGTGAACATTTGAAAATATGTAGGGCCATAAGTAGCACACGCAAGCTTCAAAACTTAATGCATCTACACCTATGGACATTAACGTAGATACCTGACTTATGTCTGGTGATATAACATTATTTGAACTAATTATCAAATCTACGATGGTTTCAAGGCTTGCAGAATTTCTTGTTGTTTAAAACTATGTTAGGCCCAAATGAAGCACATGCAAGCTTCAAAAACTTAATGCATCTGCAACTATGGACGCACTCAGTTTTCCAGACTAGTAACTGTATCTACCATTGAACATTAAAGTAGATACCTGACTTATGTCTGGTGATATGGCATTATTTAATCTAATTATCAAGACTACAATGTTTTTAAGACATGCAGAGTTTCCTGTTAAACATCAGGTCACCTCATTAACCAGCCATCCTCCCACCATAACAGGACTGCAAGACAATCAAAATGGTTATATAGGTGTCCCAACCTGGACAGGGATGATAACCATAGTTACCACCTGGTATTGGGGTAAGGTTGGTATATCAATTTAGCTGGGTATGGGAGGTGTAGAGAAACCTGAACAAAAAAATTCTCCACACCACATCACCAGCATTTGAACCACCAAAAAAACGCAAAAAAGAAACAGAAAAAATGTTATAATACTTTATAAACCACAACGTGAACTCTCAGAAAAGAGAAAAAATGTACCGAATCGCGAAAAGGGAGATACCAAATGAGAGAAATCTCACTCGATAAAAATATTCGACCACTAAGATTATTTTACTGGTCTCAGGAAGCATCAAATCATAGTAAGCACAGGTTAATGCACACATCACGACACCACTTAACCAGCAAACCTCTTCTCTTCAGCAACAGTCTAAACACCACTTATCAAGTAGCATATCAATAGTATCTACAATCTTTACTTGCCCTAACCTACGGAAAAGTGTATACAACCACCAATAGATCACTAATTTCAAGTTCTTTTACCATGTAATGAACCAAAGATAATCATCATTCACAAACCACAGACAATCAGAACCACAAAGACAACAAGAAAAATTATACCTTCGAAGTACATGTAAACACCATCCTTTCTACGCCAGGGCTTGCGCTGCCTCACAATGACAGCAGGCAAGACCTTCTTCCTGAGATCAGGCTTCCCTTTCTTGACAGTAGCCATCACCATATCTCCAACACAAGCAGATGGCAAGCGGTTAAGGCGACCCTTGATTCCCTTCACCGAGATGATATAAAGGTTCTTTGCACCAGTGTTATCAGCACAGTTCACTGTAGCTGCAACTGGCAAACCCAGTGACATCCTGAACTTGTTACCCGCTGACCCTCCACGTCCTAACAAAAAAAATTCAAGCCCTCCTCAGCTATCAAACAGCTTAACAGTACCCACAAAAAATTTTTCATTTTTCATATAAACCCATAAAAAGCTATATTTCATTTCTGGGTTTCATCTTGGTTTTGTTTACAGGGTTAGGATCATGCAAGCAAATAGAAAGGGTTGGATTTTTTTGCCTTGTTTTACTCTTTGTTTCTGGGGAAACAAACGTAAAATGAAAATGAAACAAATAATGGGCTGATAGAAAGAGAAAGAGAGAGATGGAACTGACCTCGCTTCGACATTTTCGACGGCTGAAAGGAAACGGAGAGCAAAGACTACGGTTTTTATCTTTATATCGACGGCGAATTAGGGTTTTTTTGGGTTTTGAATTTGTGTTGACAAAACCATTGAAGATGCTGATGGGCACAAATTCTAGGCCTCTACCTTACTTTGAAATTGGGCCTGGGCCCAACTTGGATTCCTTTGTAAATTTGAGAAACTGAATGACATTCAGTTAATAAATTCTACTTTGTTTTATTTATTTAACATTGATTCGGTTAATATTATTAAGTGCAACAGAAGATAAGGATAAAATTACAGTCTTGTATTAGAGCATATTGTGCAATTCTTAACTTTATTAACATAAAAAAAAGTTCATAGTCAAGATTCAAAAGGAATTATTCGTCAGATACAATGTTTCATCACGGAAGCATCAGTTAAATTTTGAAGTGCAAAATCATACAAAGGGTCTTTTTTTTTTTGGCACAACGGAGTTTGAGATAGGAAAAGGAATTGTACGTGTTGGAGTTTAAATTTCAAACATACTGGATGATATTTCTTATGAATGGTTACATGAATCAATTCAACTAAATCTCTGATTAACAGGCATATGTTTCATCCATCCATCTATATAGTGGCAGAATGAAATTCTGCAGAGCACTTGAAAGGTTTAACAGGTTGATCAAGGTCACCAAATCCAATTTTCCATAACCCCGCAAGAACATCATTCTTGTTGAAGTAAGTGCCAAACAAATGTTGGATGCAAATAAAAAATATGCAGCATGAAACTTACCCATGTTAGTTCTTCCATCGCAGCAATAGTCCTCTCCCTGTGGAAAAGGCAAGCTGCATGAGATGGAAAAAGGCATTGAATGTTTAACTTGGATTAATCACAAAAGCATGGAAAGAAGAAAAGCTTGAAAGGGAAACAGATTCACAATGAATCTTCTTGTATAAACATAAGATGATGAGCTTTCACGGAATAGCTTAATTCTACTGCTTGGGAGTAGGTTATGGTTGTTTGGATAATCACTTGAATGGGAAAGGACCTTCAAAAAAGAGTTGAAATATGATTCTGAAGTACTTCAGAGCCATGCGTATGCCTATCGTAAGAGTTTATCCGTCTAAACTCTCAAGAGAGAGCTTGCTTTCAAGAGGGAGGAGCAAAAGAATGCTTACTTTTGCATGAAAGCAAACTATAGAACTGTTGCATTAATGTACCTGAAGTGATGAGAAAAAATTCACTCCATTTGCTATAAAATTCTAATGGCTACAGAGCATAGAATCTATTGAATACCTTTGCTATAAAATTCACTCGATCTAAAACTTGTACATTCAATCAAAAAGGAGCAAAATACAAGATCTTTTGTTCTGAGAAATCAAGGATCAAATTCCGAATCAATGATAGACAACCTATATAATATAACAATCTGAAAACAGTCAAACTAGTTACAAGAAAATATAAAAATAACAACCTCAATTCGTGTATAAATACTTAAACTTTGAATTACATACTACTTTGGTAAAGTAAGAGGGTTACAACTGAATAAACTTCAATTCTAGATCTCGCTATCTTGACTGCTGTACATTTTTTGGTCGGAGAGTGGAACTTTGAGCGTGGATGTATGCTACTGCAATTGAGAAAGATTGCAGAGCAGAGAGTGTTGATTGAAAATGAATATAATACAGGCCATCATGAACATTTGCCATCCTCAAGGTTGGAGAACCATTCTTTGAACCCTGAAAATTTGAAGTTGGACAATGGTCATCACAATGCTTATTCAGGTTGTAATAAAGTTATTTGAATGTTAACCATGAAAAAGCAAATCTGTTCTAATGAGGAGAAATTGGGCAAACATAAATATCATATGTTCTTGTGCTTCTAATATTGACAGTGAGCCTAAATCCTAACAGTATTAACTATTTTAGATTGTAAGACAGGAAAACACAGAAACTGACATACCTGAATGAAAAAATCAAATAACTTGCATGCCTCAGACATATCTGTTGGAGGTAAACCTCCTTCTTTACTTGATCTGGCTTTAAGTACTGTCAGCGGGCAGCCCAAGTCCCAGCCACCACAGTCACAATGTCCACCAGATCTCCATCTTTCAATAAGACTAGAGGGGCCACCATTGCCGGTTCTTGGACCAACATGAATACTTGCTGGAACTAGAATATCCATTCTTGTTGAGCAATCACTGGTATCGCAAGAACAAGAAGAAGGAACTGGGGCTTCCAAAGTGTCAACAGTTTGCTTAACCCCTGCTTTCCTGAGAAACTTTAAGCCCCAACCTCCAACTTCGGGCCGAGTATTTTCAGGGAACTGGTCCCTCACAACAATGGCAGTCAATTCAACATATGGTGGAAGTTGTTCCTCCAAAAGATTTGTCCCATCTACTCCATCAGAATTGTTGTCTTTTTCTTGGCATAGATCCCAAGAAGAATCCTCCATTATGGAACTTGGTCGACGAGATCTAGACATCATTCTCTTCTTGGAAAAGTGACTCCTTTTGAATACTTCCACCATTTTTTTTGGTAGACTCTTATTCTTCCTGTGGTTATGGCTTGAAGTTGGCAGCTCTCGACTGAAAGTTTCATTATCATTAAACAAAACAAACTCCGTCTCCATGACTTTAGAATCTTGGGGGCAGATTGAGAAAAAGGTAGATACCTTCATCTTACCAACAAGGCACGACTCATTATCACTAATCCCATGTTCCTTGTGACAACCCTTGCTTGAATGGAACAAGTACATATAATCCAGACCCTTACTGCGACCTGATCCTTCCTTTGACATATTGGCTACATATACCTCCCTCTGATTATCCAGGGAGAAAACAAAACAAGGAATCCCACCCTTCCATGTGCATTGAAGCATTCCCTGAGATATTGCTGTAGGATTAAAAGAAAAGGACTGATCAGAGCATGTTGAGTTTGTACATGACACAGAAACAAGCCTTTTATGCACAGTTTCAGATCCATAGTTACGAGTATCAGATATGGGTGTTTCACTTCCTAGCTTATGTGATGAATAATTAATGAAACCACCAGGAGACCTCATGACGTCATAACTTATCAATCCTTTAACATCATTCAAACTTGGATCAACATCCAATGCACCCAATTTCTGTAACAATGGGCTCTTCAATATATTTGCCATACTCCTTCTGCCCATTATTGAACCAACAACCCACTGTTCTGCAGGACCAATGACTACACTACCAGTCCCAACTGCCAGTGGACGGTCAAAATCAAAGCTCCCCAAATCACATGTATCTTCATCCCTGATTTTAGCTGAATTCAGTCCATCAGATAAAATGCCCATTTTTATGGAGGTCAAGTTCACAGAGACTTTGCTTTGAGCTGCTTTTGCTGCATTGATATGAATCAACTCCAGGCAGCGACAAAGATATTTCTCATCTATAGTAACCACATGCCTCGGAATCTTATTCCCTATGCCAAAAATACTCTGAAGGAATGAACCCCCTATAAGACTTTTTCCAGCTTGTAATCTTTTAGCATTTAATATCAGAGCATGCTGTGGATTTACCCTTCTTGCCAGCTTTTTCAATTTTAATTCAGAATAATTCATTCCATTGTCTCCTGAAGTATCACAGTTATCCTCCAAGTTTTATAGTGAATCTTCTTTCCCCTGATCATCTTTCCGACCACTAAAAGATGAGTTGTCCATCATCTGCCTCTGATTAAGTATAGTAAATTAATAATGGGCATGCATTGTTACCATTTTCGGCCTCAAAATCGTTGATCTGAGTTAGACAGCAGAGATGCACATTATCCAAGCCACCAACAATTAAATTTGTTCTTCACCAAAAATCTGAAGAATAAGATGAAGAATAACATCAAGATAGTACCAAAAGAAGAAGCAGATACAGAAGGAAAGAAAGCCATGACTGGTGCACTACCAATCCTTACCTCAACTAGAAAGAATAAGGTTAATGCAAGTCCAGATTAAGACGGTATTTTCAATGATGAAAAACAAAACAGAACGTGTTGGACTCGAACTATAACTTAATCAAGTAATGATGGAGCTTTAATTTTTGCATATGTAACCATGTGAAGTTATGAACAAGAAAGACAAGAACATATATCCTTCTACCTTCCCTTGTCTTTTTCTTTCATTTATTCTCGTGGTATCTAGAGGAGATATAAACAAGCAAATGTAGATTAGAAGTAAATTGGTGAGCAATCAAAATCAAGATAGATAGAAATTCTTTTTTCTTTAAGAATCACAATTATGATATATAACCAAATTTATAAAGAATGATTACATCAACATCAAGATTACAAGCAGGACAAGGAAGGAATAAATCAATTCACTTAGTTCATGAAACCACTTTTAAGAGTTGGAATCCAACAGGACTTGTTCGGGACCTCCTTTGTAAAAAAAAAAAAAAATTAGTGGAAAATACAGCAGAAAAAGCATTAAAAACACCATAACCAGAAAATAATACCTTACCAATTTAATTAAACTCAACCAAGCCTACTATCCAAAAAACATAGAAGAAAGAGAGAAGATCCATTCAAATTACAAACACGTTAAAGAAAACTGATGGGGTGTTGAACACTGTCAAACTTAGAACTCTATAACCAGCTACCATCAATCCAAGCAACTCAGATACAAAACTTAACTAGTAAATTCAATCTTTCTGTTCTGTACCAACTTAATAAGAACAAAACTGGAAACTACTTCCTATTAAGGAATACCAGAGAAAAAGAAAAACATAAAGTACCAAAAACCAGAAATAAACAAAGAAGAAAGTTGCAAAATTTTATGAATAGAGTAAGTAAAAAGAGAAACTTTTTTCCTTTACCTCAAAGAAATGGATCCAAGAGAGAAAGATCAACCACCCCAATCCAATAGAAAAGCAAAAGAAGCAAAGGGAAGAAGCAGCAGTTGATTCCCTATAAAGTAAACTTAATAACCCATTAACCAAGAGCTTAAAAACTCAATAACCTTAAAAATAGACAGATTTGTGTTTGTGAGAAAGAGAAAAAGGAAGAAGCACAAGCACTGGTTTTTTTTTTTTTCCTTTGTTAACTGTTTAAGACCGTAATCAATGTTACTCTTTTGCTTAAGAAAGAGATATATCAAAACAAAGCAAAGTACACCCAAAACTGAAGCAAAAGTAGACGGGGGCGTGAAGTGGAAAAATGGTGTTGTAAGCCACGTTTAGTTGTGGAATTTTGGTCCAATGTTCTTCCATAGGTTCAAGTAGGACCCACTTTTTTCGATTGTTTTCGTTAGGCAAATACGGAACAAAAAACAAAAAAAGAAAAAAGAAAAAGACCCAGATAAGGAATGGAAATTTTCAAACAGAAACCATTGAAAAATACACAAAGAAAAGAAGAGGAAGTGAGCTGGAACGCAGGATGTGAACAGAAATCCACTAAGGCCACAACCCAAAGAAGAAGAGAGAGAGAGAGAGAGAGGGGGGGGGGCCACTTACTAAATAGAGAGAAAGCCGAAGCACAACAACTGAAATGGACTTTCTCGTTTTAATGTTTTTCTTTATTTAACCGCCTTTACCATAGTGTTTTTTATTGGTTTTTTTGGTTGAAGTTTTTGATTCAAAACAAAAGGATTTTTCCAAAGACATGTGAAGGAGAGAGAAATGGGTTGTGAAATGGTCAAAGTCCTTCCAAGTTGGTACTACCATATTTTATTTGTTCAGAGCATGAAACCCAAGCAACAATAACGACAACATGATATCTGCTATTTGTTGTTCTGTTTTACACTTTTACTATGATTTCATTTATTACAATCTGCTGCATGTTTTGCATGTTGGTCTTTTTAATGTTCTCATTTTTTTACATTAGACCACTTATATCAATGTAGTTTCCTTTTTTTTATTGCTTAAGGTAGATTTATATTTATCATATTTTTAATATAATATAATTGAGTTTATTATATCTTTAATTGAATCTAATCTAATATATATTATATAATAATATAAAAAATAAGTTTATTACATAAGTATTTATGTGGATAATTTTTTTAAATAACACATAAGATAATTTTTTTTTAAATAAGATAGTTTTTTTAATTACTAATTAGATAATTTTATATTTACTCAAATATCAAAATTATTCAAATTATAATTGAAAATTAAATCAATTTAGAGATTCTTTTTTAAATTAAAAATATGAAATATGGATTTTATTTTTTTAATAGATAATTTTAGTTGTTTACTAAATAACCTTATTTAAAAATTTATTTAATTATTAAAATCTTTCAAACATGTTTAAAAATTATAAAGATTAAATTTATTTAAATATTTTAATAATATTTTTTATCTTAATTTAAAAAATTTACGTAAGACATTAAAAATTTAAGCAACTTTATGTAATATTTTGAAATTTCAAAAAATTTTCATCTTAAATTTCTAAATAATAAGATAATCAAAACTATTATATGCATTTGAACTCTAATTATCAAATTTTTAATTCAAATAAATACAAAAAATTTAATATTATCTTTATCACTTATTATATCCATTTTAAATTTTAAAAATTTAATTTAAAAATTATTTATTTAATCCTATTTGCCACTAAAGAATTCTTTTATGAATTTAATACTATAAATGTAATGTATTATACATCAATTTTTTTTTTCAGTAATTTTTTTAAGGTATATTCTATTACTATTGCAATTTATTTTTTCTATAATTTTTTTCTAAGATATATTTTATTGTTATTACAGTTTTGTTCTTATGAAAAATAACAATTTTTTTAATGTTTTTCCTTTTTCACGTATTTTTTAACATTTTTAATATTTTGCATAATAATTGATTCAAGATTATTAAAGTGAAAGTATGTTAATATTTCTTTTATTATATAATTTATCATTCAATAATATTTATTTTTATTTTTTTAATAAAGGCATAATTTATTTTTATTTGATATAATCTTGTAGGTGTATAAATATTATTGTAAATAAAAATATCTAAAGAAAATATATAAAATTTTTCTTATTGTTTTCAGAAATTATTTTTTAATGACAAGTATATATATATATATATATATATATAAATTTTATATATGTTATAAGTTTGAAAGATTTGAATATAATTTGAAAAGAAACTAATTTGTATATATATATATATATATATATACATATATACATATTAAGTAAGTAGAATTATTTCGTGCATCGCGCGAGTTATAATATAGTATATGTATATTATATAACAATATACATAAACAAGTTTATCACATAAGCGTTTATATGAACAACTCTCTTAAATGACACATAAGATAATTTTAAAAAAAAATAAGATAATTTTTTTAATTATAAATTAGATAATTTTAAATTTATTCAAATATCACAATTATTCAAATTATAATTGAAAATCAAATCAATTTAGAGATATATTTTTTAAAATTAAAAATATGAAATATTAATTTTTTTAATAAATAATTTAAGTTGTTTATCAAATAAACTTATTTGAAAAATTATTTAATTATTAAAATCTTTCAAATATGTTTTAAAATTATAAAGATTAAGTTTATTTAAATCTTTTAATAATATTTATCTTGATTTAAAAAATTTACATAAGACATTAAAAATTTAAGCAACTTTATGTAATATTTGAAATTTCAAAAAATTTTCATCTTATATTTTTAAATAATAAGATAATCAAAACTATTATATTCATTTGAACCCTAATTATCAAATTTATAGTTCAAATAAATACAAAAAATGTAATATTATCTTTATCACATATTATATCCATTTTAAATTTTAAAAAAACATGTTAATATTTCTTTTATTATATAATTTATCATTCAATAATATATATTTTTATTTTTTTAATAAAGGCATAATTTATTTTTATTTGATATAATCTTATAGGTGTATAAATATTATTGTAAACAAAAATATCTAAAGGAAAGACATAAAATTTTTCTTGTTGTTTTCAGAAACTTTATTTTTTAATAACAAATATATATATATATATATATATATAAATTTTATATAGCTATGAGTTTGAAAATTTTGAATATAATTTGAAAAGAAACTAATTTGTATATATATATATATATATTCATATTAAATAAATAAAATTATTTCGTGTATCGTATGAGTTATAATCTAATTTAAATATTAATTTTAATAAAATTTATTTAATATAAATTTTTTATTAAAATTTCTTTCTACAGTAATTTGTTTTTGAATTATAGTTATAATAATTTTTATTATTCTTTTTAATTTTATCGAAATTAATTTTATTATCTATTCAAATTGAGTTTTGATATATCTTAATGTGATAAATATACAAGTTCAAACTCAGAACAACAGCTTCACTTCACTCAACTGCCAAACCTGATAATTGCTGATGTACATGGCTAGGATTGGGAAGTTATTATCTTAACTTTTATTCTTATTTTTAAATTAGTTTAGGGTTAGAATTTAAGGATTTAGATTTTTTTTTTGTTAGGACGTAGGAACATGAAGATCGATTCTTTGATACAAATAAAGTTTGATCACTCAAATTTAATTTACAATTCAAATATATATAATAATCTTAGAAATTTGTAAGTAAATCAATTCATCAAAAATTCATTATATTATTATCAAGTTAACTCAAAACAAATATATTTTTTTCATTCATACTTTTGATTCAATGATCGACGTATATCTTTAAACAAAGTTTGTATTAGTCGATTTTTTAATAAAAAAAACTCACATTTTAATTAAAAAAGGTCAACTATGGGATTTTTTCAAGACACAAAATTTAAAAACAAACCAACTTTCCGAGTTTTTTTTTTTTCGCTTTTGTATATAAATTAGATATGATAATTTATATATTTATGTCATATAAAATATTAAAAATTTATATAATTGTGTGGTGTTTTATATAAAAATTACGTATCATAATTTATATCAATATTAAAAACATGTTAAATTTATTTATGATTTTAATTAAAATTTTAAATCATATTATCTTCGTATTTTTTATTCATATTATTTTCATATCGTATTATCATATCATATTTAAAATTATTAGGTCTATATATGAATGTGTCCATTATAAGTGTGATGCAATAAGGAAGTTGTTAGACCGTTACCATGCCAAGTTCTGGTGAGTGAAATTATGGACCACAAGTCATGAATTTTGTGTAAAATGGTCCCTCCATTAATTAGGAATTAGGTGCCATGACATGGACAACTAAAATTATCCTATTGGCACATCCAAAATTTTCTTATCTTCAAGAAAAACAAATTTCAAAGTCCCATTATTTCATTATAATCTAATACTCTTTGACCTTTTCATGTTATATGCATGGAATTTTGGTCTTTATTTGCACCAAATCTGATAAAGAAAGGCTAAAGAAAATTGCATTATGATAAGATCTTTTAACTGCCACACACAATTACTTTACAATTATTCTTTTAACCTTTTATTATAATTTAAAATTCATTCAAAATTTAAAAATTTTTCATAATCTCAAAAAATTTACGTTTTACGATTAAACCCTTGCAATAAAAATTTTTTAATCGAACTCTCAAATAAAATATAAATTAATAAAATTTCAGCCTAAAATTTTATGTCTCTCTTACATCTATTGAAAACTTATTTTGCTTTAATGTGATGTGAGAATTAAAAAATTTCATGTCATTATTTTTTCTTAGTGAAAAAAAATTTAAAATAAATGGATTGTTTGGTCTCTCAAATTAAAATAAAAATATCATATTCGATATTTTAAAACAAGTGATTATAAATTATATTTTTAAAATGATCTTAACAAATAATCATCGATAAAACTTTAATTCAAAATATTTTCATTAAAAGGAAATTACATCTATATGGATTTTTTTTCTTTTAATTTAACTTACAAGACATCAAATCTTCAATCATTCCAAGGGTATGTCATTCTTTTAAAAAAATCCATTTGATTTTCCATCTTGTCTTCATTCATAATTCAGTGGTTTAATCTCCCAAACTCCCAGCATTTTGAACAGTCAAAAAATAAAAATAAAAGTGGGTCCAACAAGATCATAAATTAGACAAATCTTCTGATCTTCTTAGGAACCGGCTAACCAACAACCTTATTGAAAAAAATGAACGCCATTCTTGTTGTCTTGTTGATCAAAGTCTATATTCCACAAACATACCTAACTTCCCAAGGTTCATTTTTGTCAAACCCATAGAGTCAAATGATTGCATTTAGGGGCTTAAAAAATTCAATGTTTTGATCATGACCCTTATTAAAAAAAAAATCCCCTATTTCAAGGTTTAATGTAAAGATTATCATTGATTTGATAATCAAAGTAAATTATTATGATTAGTGACTTTTAGTAGATGTTAGGGAGATTCTTAATTACCATGATTATGCTAATCAGAGATAATCAAAACCCTAATAATCCTCATGGAGATCTTGCACTTGAAGGTTTAAAAGCACTGTGAACCATTATCAAATGTCAACTTTTTGGTGCTAGGTATTTGAAGGCTAAAATAATTTTTTAAAAAATGTCTTTAAATTTTGTCATTTTTATATTTTTATTACATTCAAATAAATTTTTAATTTTTAATTTATAATAAATAAATCATTAATCATTAATTTATATTTAAATAAACTCTGAGTATAAATTAATATTTTATTTAAAATAAAATTTATTTAGATATAATTCAAATAATAAAAATATAAAGGTTTATTTAAAAAAAGTAAAATAATTTGAGAACTTTTTAAATATTTTAGCCACTTTTGAACCAAGGCACATAAACCTTGAGGGACAACAACTTTAGTAATTCTAGATCATGGTGTTTTCATTAGTTTTTCAACATCTAGAAAAGGAGTATCCACAAATTTATTAAATTAAGATAATGTAACTAATAAAGTTTTTCATTGAAATACAATTAATTTTGGCATAGGGTCTAATGTCATATTCATTGAAGATAGGAGGGGTTGGAGGAAAAAAAAAAGTCAAATAATGCTTTTGGACCATTGAATTTATAGATTATAAATTTGACTTTTAATTGAATTAGTAACATGTTATTTCATTTAGCTTGGAGTTAAGACAACAAAAAGGAGACATGTAATATAGATATATAGGATAGCATCTTATTTTTTTTATATTTTTAATTTAGGGAAAAATAAATTAAAATTTCACTCTTCGAGTAAAAGACAACATGCACCAATTATTGAGTTAAATGTTCGGATGAAATAATATCTATTTTCTAAAGCATGAAAACATTGTTGCTAAAACCTTGGGGTTAAGCATAAATTTCTTGGGAAAAAATGTTCCTAAATTTTATCACGTTACTTAGATAAACTTTTATACTTTCATTATATTTAATAAGCTCTTAATCTTTAATTTGTATTAAAATAAATTTTTAAATTTAATTTGTATCCAAATTCTTTAATTTATAACATAAGTTAATCTTTTATTTAAAATAAAGATTTATTTAAATACAAATTAAAAAATAAAAATTTATTTGAATATAATAAAAATATATAAATTTATTTTTAAAAAAATAATTCAAGATCTTTTTTAGTATTTTAGCAGAAGGTAAGGATTTTGTCGGCAAGACTTGGGCTGGTTGAAGCATGACCAGTTGTAGGCCTAAGCAAAAGCATTGATAAAGCCCACTTGTCATAGGAAAGTTCATAGCAATATTTTCAGAGAGAGAAAGTGCCCAAAAGGCAAAATAAATGTATTGCTATTTGCCCATCCAAAAAGAACACAGAAAAAAAAAAATGCATTGATCTGAAGGACATCCAGCATCTAAAATCCAATGTTTTTCACTTTGAAGAAATTAATTTGTACTACATGATTCAAGCAACTCAACAATACAAGTGTTTGTTTAAAGTCGCAATCTAATATAAATTAATTTCTTCAACCAGTGATTTCTGGCAAGTAGGGGATGCCATAGGATTGTCAATTCTGCAGATCACAGACATTGAACTTGATACAAGGGGGGTGATATACATATCTACAGAAGTTACTGTTTTATTGACTGTCTATAGTATCCTGACTTGATTATTTGTATACAATAGGACCCAATTATTTCTTTTTTTTTTCTCTTTTTGTTTTTTTGTTTTTTAAGATCAAACTCAGATGAAGAAATCCTGTCTGAAACTGGGGTCCTGCAAAATTGTAGTAGACTTGTTGTTAATGAAACTATATTCAAATCCAGGACTGGATAGGGTAATTGCATTTAAAGGAGTTGACACCACTAATGTGAGCAAAAATATCGGAGGAATCAGCCATGTCTCCCTCTTCTTTCACAACAACCTGTTGGGAAATTCATTAAAGCAAAAGTAACAATACATGTATCAGAAACAAATTATGCAGTATTCAATTATGCAAGGAAGAAGAAAACTTGGAATTTTATAAAGAAAAGAAAAAAAATGAAAATCTTACTTCATCATCATCATCTTCTTCATGATTGCTACAAGCTTGTCTAAGGGCCTCTCCAAAATCATCATTCTTTGCAAATCTTCCTCTGACTCGAGGTCGGCTGTCAGCTAGTGTCTTGCGGCAGGCATACTGCAGATTTGATTTATTGTAACATTAGTACTTTAATTCTCCAAAATCATGCAATGTGACATGCATATACATGTTGATATGAGAGGGAGAGAGAAAGGACCTTGATTTTCTTGCTGAAGTTCCTCTCATTCCTTTTCTTCATGTACCTATGGATCTTCTCCTTCCTTTGTTCAACAGAAAGTTTTCCAACTTTGTTGAAAGTTGAATCTTCCAAGCTTGAGATCTCTGATGCTAAAGGAGTAGAGCTGACAACTGCTCCCACCAGTTGTTGAGTACTGTCACTGCTGAGACCCTTTTGGTACAATCAGGAAGAAAATTGCAAAGTTAAATGAATTGTAGTTGCATTTTAATACTACTAAATGCAATAGTTAGATCATTTCCCCATTCGTTTGGGATAACAGGTTTGAAGGAATTCTCAATAGAAGTACTTGGTACTCTTTGGTTTAGTGCAAAATCATGCTCCTGTCCATGCAAGTGAATCGATATTTTTTTTACAAAGAAACTGTATCCTGAGGACGGAGAAAAGATTACAAATGTTGAGATTTGAACTCCGGCCAGCTGGATGCCACTTTTAAAATGTGGCTACATTAACTAATTAAACTAAACTCTGGTTCCTGCGAATAAATATTTATAATTAACGAATTTATGCTGAGTCGGTTTGGTTGGGGACCAGAAGCCTCCATTAGTGTCCCCTGGTTCTAAAATTCAATGTTTTGCAGTTACCTTCAATGTCAAGTTCCATGTAAGGAAAGTGATTCATAAGGACGTTCTATTAATAATGGTTTTCATCCTGTAGTTAATCATTGTGAAGGCAAAATGTTTATTTTCAGATTAGAGAGAAATTGTTTTTAGTGAAAACTAAGGACAAAATCTAGTTCAGACAGTTCTGCTATCCTAATGGACAGCTCCAATTTATCAAAAGTTGAAAACAAAACAAGTACCTGTAAGTCTCCAGGGTTAAAAACGCGCTGCATTGAATCTGGACAGAAAATTCCAGCGTTATCACCCTGGTATTCCAAGTCTTGTGGTTGCAGTTCAGAACCCATAAGAATGCTCTCAGCGAAAATCCCAGAACTATCAGCAGACAATGCAGCAGTTAAAGCCCCAACGGGCATGAAAGTAGCCATGCCCGGACCAAGAAAAGAACAAGAAGGAGATGAAGGGTTTAAAGGTACATAAGAAGGCAGAAAAGACAAGCAATCTTCGTCGAGAACAGATGGTAATGGAGGCCCCATAAGAGGGGCAACAAGGTCAGCACTGTACTGTGAGAGCCCATCAGCTGCAACATCCGCTAATTGGATTTGAGATTGCACTAAAGACAGGTCAAATTGGTCTTGTTGAGTAAGAAATGGTGGGACAGAAAAAGAAGGGGATTGAGAAAAGTCTATAGAATCAGAAATGTCATTGTCGATTTCATCTGGGGAATCAAAGATTATGGACAGATTGCTATTGTTATTATTGCTAGTGGCAGCTGTGGCGCTTGTGTTGGCGCTTGTGGTGGTGGTAGTGGTGGTGGCATTGGGGGTAGCTGAGTTATTATTTCCATTGTTATCTTGGTAGCCATTGAGTTGTTCAATATCAGGTGGTATGGTAAGATTATTGCCAAAGGAAGAGCTCTCTTCATAGCAACAATTAGACGAAGTAACCTCAGAGTTTTGCAGGGCTTCTGAGAAAAGATCAGTATCGGAAAAATCGAAAATCGGACCACTGATCGGGCTTGGTATATCATCCTGCAAAAAATAGTGAAAAACCATGTTTAGATAGATCACAAAAAAAAGTTAAATCAACTAGCTAGTACAGTTGCACTACAACATACGCAAAGCTCAATAACCTTTCCTTTGGGCATACAAGTATCATGATTCTACATAGTTTCATCAGATGGGGTTTGAGTAATTTTCAATTAATAATTTTTTTTATCACATTTCATCAAAATAAAACTCATGATGGGCTGATGATGGAAATCTACCAAGTTCATGGGTGCGGTTGCTAGGTGCAGCAATGTGGTTTCCATATTTGATCAGAAACATATAAGACCAATCTCATAAGGAGGATAACCTGACAGTGGATATTTCGTACAAAGAAGAAAAAGATTTTTGAGTATCTGTGCTCCATGTGACTTGTATGAACCGAAAGTACCCTCAGTGTTTGCAAAAATATCAGAAGCAGTTTAAACAAAGAAAGAAATTAATGCTATTTTTGTTCATAGAAAAGACTCCAACTTTAAACAAATTAACAATTGGAATAGAAAAAAAAAAAAAACTACCAAGAACCCCATTTATTTTTTCCATGTGAAGTGCTAAAGAGAAAAACAAAAGAATCACAATTAGGAAAGCTTAAACATGAAGCATGAATAGCTACTTATTCAATAGTGATCAAAAGAAAAGTTGAAGCAACAATCAGGGGAAAAAAAAAACAGGATTAGATTGGAAGATGGTTCTATCCCTAAGAAATTGACAGTTTTGAATCAATGGGAAATGCATGGTTATTAATAATGTTCTTTTATTGCTTCTTGATTCAATTTCTATATTTAAAAAAAAAATGAATGAAAAGGGAAATTTTTTTTTGGATGAAGTGAAGCAAGCCTAAATCTAACGCAGTGGCATTATGTGGTCAATGTGAAATTGTAATATTTCAGATGAAAGAAATACAAATGAAAACTGGACAAGGAAATAATGGAGGCATGAAAATGATTAACTAAAAATGACATGAAAAGGAAAAAAATTGGGAAGAAAGCAACCATGAACAAAGATAATGTAAATCTGTGAACAGCTTTAGAATTATACCATGTCCAATGAAAGTATTAGACACAAATTCACGTAACCCTTTGTAATAATAAAAAAAAACCATTAACGAAATGAATCTTTGTTTCCAAGTTATATAATTTTGTATAAACACCATCGAACAAAAAACAAAATCAATCACTTGAAAATCATTGAATCCTAACAGATTTAAAATTCAAATATCAGTTCCTGTACTATGACTATTAAAAAAAAATTATAAAAAACAATGATTTCTAAGCATTAAACATCCATGCAATCACATTCAAGAAATTTGGAGAATTACAATGGGAAGCTGCTGCTCCGGTGGATGAATCATGTCTTGCAACATGGTTTGTTTGCCTTTTCCAATGAACCTGATCAAAAGCTCCTTTGAAGAAAAAAGAAGTACCAAAACACTTTTGCTACTGAATTACAACCCTAAGCTTAAAATATAATAAGACTAAGATCAATGAAAGACACAATTAATCCATCTGAACAACAAAACAAAGATATAAGATGTAAGAAAAGAAACAAAAAAAAATTGTTTTGTTTTTTTCAGTTTACTGAGAGAGAACAAAAAACACAAAACCCAAAATAATTTTTTATTCAATTTTAGGTGTAATTTTGTGGAATAAAAAACGTGATAGCTAAGAAAATGGAAGGTTTGGGGTGTCAAAAGTGAGTTATATATAGGGAGTTGGGGAAGTTTTTTTGGGCCGTGTCCGAAACTGGGTTGCCATCCTGGCACACTCTTCTGCGTCAACACGAGAATTGCGATGAACCAAGGGTTTTTACTCCCTGTCAATGTGGCATATTAAGGTTATGACACTTGGTATATTTGACACACGGCTAATTTGGTTGACGTGGCACTGAGTTCTCACCAAAAGGGTGGATTTTTTTTTTTTTTTTTTGGTTTATTTTGCCAAGCTGAAATTGAGTTGACCGAGCCTTGTCCAATTCTTTAGCTGTTTCTTTGGAATCAAACCAGTTCCTTTCTTATCTGAAAATTTATCGTAATAACCCACTTGTTTGTAATAAATTCAACACTTCCCTATAAAAATTCAAAACTATAATCACGTGGCTTATTTCATTAAAAAATGAAATAATAAATTTCAAAAAAAATGAAAAATACAATGTACAAACGATTTTTTATTTTATATAAAAGATATCGTAGTTTTCAGATAAGAAAAAAGTTACATATACTATAATTTGAAATTTAAATCTATTAAATTTTATTTTTAAAAATAATAATATGAATCAATTAGATTAAACCCAAATTTTTTTTTTTTTGCTTTATTTTATCTTATTACGTTATAAGTCTTTATTGACTTATAACCGTTTTAAGTCCAAATTTTAGCATTAATAAGAAACATTTGATACTAACTTCCTTTTTTATGATAATTTATACATTTTTATACTACTAAATTTGAATTTACCATATGATTCTTATAGGTAGCATTTTCTTTTTGATACCATAGAAAAGAGCAATAGTAAGGGTTTACAACAAGAATTTATGTTGAATTTTACTTTTCTTAATTAGACCATTTAAGCTCTATTTGAATAAATGGTGAGATTGATTCTGATGATATTAAAAAGAATAATAAAAAGTTATTACAATTGTGTTTGAAAAAAAAAAGTATTACTGTAGCTGTAATTGAAAAAAAATTCAATGAAAAATTTATATTAAATGGATTTTATTGAAATTGGTATTTGAATTTAATTGATGGTACGATAAACTCAATTACATTACATCGCTCTTGCGGTAAAATCTAAACTAAGCTTATGTTTGAATTGAGATAAGGGGAGAGAAAGAAAAAGAATGAAAAAGAAACAAAAGGAAATGGGAAATCCTTTTCCTTGTTTCTATATGACATAAATAAAAATAAAGAAAAGGAAAGTATGCTAACCTCCCTTTTGTTTCTCTCAACTTTTTTCATTTTTTAATTACCCCAAATTGGGGGAAAACGAAGGGAAAAGAAAAGAATAAAATTTTTAAAATATAAAATCATTATATCTTTATTAATTTTTTTAAATTAAAAGTATATGATTTTGAATTTCAAAATTAAATTGAGAATACAAAACATCATTTATCAATAAATTTATTATCTTCAATTTTTTTTCTTATTTTTATAAATTTCATTGATGATTATTTTTATGAAGAAATAAAGAAAAATTAAAAATATGAAATACGTTAACATAAACATGTAAATATTATAATAAAAACAAAAATTATCAAAGGTTATAATTGAAAAAAATAACATAATAAATTATTTCTTTTCCTTTCCATTATTTAACCGGTTGTTAGAATTTTTTTATTTTTTTTATTAATTTTAGTTATTCAAACAAATAATACATATATCATTTCTTTTCCTTTAAAAAACTCTCTTTGCTTAATTTCCTTGAGTCTAAACGATATATACATAACAATAGGAATAAATTCTATAACTTAGGACGATGATGTTGGGAATTGTCGACTAAGGATAGTAATGAAGTTAAAGTCATCTGATTCCAATTAGCCCTAAAAGTCCTAAGATAATTATTCAACATAGAAATATCTTTTCGAGATATCAGATGGCTGGCTTCTTAAAACAAAAAAAAAAAAAATGTTTCTATGGTATGAAGAAATTTATAATTAAATGTTTAATATCTTTCTTTATTTTATTTCCTGGCTAAAAATCCTGTTTCTTATCGGAGCAAAAATTGAAAAAAAAAATGCATAGGTCTTATCAGGGCTAATTCGATTTTTTTTTAAGGGATAAAAGATTTTTGGGTTTCACATAATACATTTTATCTTAAGATCGGTTCAAATAAATTTATCTACATTAATCTAATTAATTTATAAAAAAATTACCTTTTTATAATTTGATTTAATGATTAATATATGATTTTTTATTATTTCAAACAGAATATTAGATTTTTTCTCAAATAAAACAAATCTTAATTTTCACAATCGAGCAGATTTTTTTTCTTTAAACAAAATAGTATTTTTGTCCCTTTAGTTTATAAAAAGTAAGCTGTAATTATTTGTAGAAACTATCTATTAGATTACTTATTTTATTCATATATTCAATAAGTCTATAATAAATACTAGATTGAACTAATTTGTTTTTCTTTCCCAAAAGAAAAAAAAAGTTCTTTCCATATACGAAAAAGGAGAAACCATTTGTGTCAAACATTTTTCTTAACATGTATGGCTATATTTGTTATCTATATAGTCATGCATAGTTGCTTGTCTTATAGACCAGAATCAAACCCATTTAGGTTCAAGCTATTGAGTTAGGTATCCAAGGTTTTCATAACCTTCCATGTGCCCTAGCCTTCCATGATCCATTCTCATGAATAGTTTGTATGCTATGCCTTTTCCTAAGGTTGGTGTTTGTGCCAAGCTTCAATTTCACGGCACTCTTAAAAAGATAGAAGAGAAGGACGGTTAAAGGTAAAGACAAAAAATATTTTTTGTATTTGAACTTCGACGCGTAAATCAAAATAAGTGAGGTCTAAAGGAGAGTGATAAAGAGGATTAGAAGTAAGACGAACTTACCTTAAAAGTGTTTGGATCTTTATATTTATAGATGAGCGATAAAAGACCATTAAGGGACAATAAGAACAATGCCGAATTAATGTGGCATTGGATGTGTCAGATTGACTTGATATATCAAATTGACATAAATATCGAAATTACTTCTAATTGTCTATTGAAGATTTTTAATAAAAAAAAAAAAAATCACCATTCCCTTTTGATCACTGAATATCCCCAACAATTAGTATATATGTTTTTAACTTTTAAGTTTTCTTAATGATAGGAAGAATCTTACTTGTATCTCTAAATCTCTAGTGTTAAAACTGTTTTAAGCTCACTTACTACCAATAATTATTGTTCTATATGTCACATCATATATGGCCAATGAAATTCATAAATCTTTCACATATTCGCATAAGTAATAATGTTGAATGAAGCAAGTACATTATAATCCCCTTTCTTGAGATTAATTTCATTGTTGGTGTATACCAACTATGTTATTTCGATTATTTATATTTTTTAAATATCACTGTCCGTATATATTTAGAAAATATGAGTATAAAAGTCCTATCTTTCAAATACATGATTTTTTTTTAAAAAATTGAATATACCCATGTCGTATACATACACATTTCATACTCAAACCAAATCCGAGCAACACTAGTGCCCAAGAAAGTTGGAAATAAAAATTAAAATTGAGACTTCTACATTTTCTTGGAAAATTGGTTGGAAGACACAAACCTTGAAGCATCAGACTGGGGCAGGAAGGTCTTCCACTTGCTTGTTCTTTCACCTTTAAAGAATATCTCTCATGTATAGTTATGGTGTCACTGCTAGTTCTTTTTCAAGATTTAAGCCAAATTGATTAAGATAGAAAAATGCCTTTGGCTATGCACGAGTAACAGTACTCCAAAATATGATAAAAAGAAGCACAATGGCATAAACAAAAACTTGGAACAGAACAAAAATCAAACCAATTGGCTCTACCTTTGATTCCTTGGTTTGTGCAAAAGACAGACCAACTATTACAAGCATCCTTTGAGAACAAAAGTCTATGAACTAGGTTGCTTTGGAGCAGCAATTAACCTACCTCAATGTCTTTTCGTCCATTGAAACAGGAAATTTTCTCTATCCATTGGGTGTACTTCCTACTTTTATTATGCTAATATTTTCATTTGCAATTGGTGTATTTGTGTTTATTTATTTTATGTTTAATACGTATAAAATATGAAAATTATCATATTATAATTTGTGTTCATTTTGTTTTTATCAAAACAATATATAATTTTTTCTAAAATTTTAAATTATATCGCTTTCATGTTTTTTTTTTTTGTATCATTTTCTGATAATATCATATCCTATTTAAAATTATCAAATCAAGTTTCCACTGCCAACTGGACTTATTTAAACAACCTGACTTGTTTTTTAAACCAACTTTATGCAATTTTGGTTGAGTTCTCTATCTATATCAATCCCTCACATCTCCTTTACAAATGCAATTCCATTTCATAGAGCTTCCATGTTGCCATTTTGGTCAAAAAATTCGGTTAATTAGCATGAATTGGTTTTCCTTGTTTGATGGAAATTCTTTCCTAGAGTTGAAAAATATTCTTACTAAATGGCCAAAACAATTACAAGAAAGGCTTGGAATCTAAGATTATGTTTTACCTTAATCGCAGCTCTCACACACACAAAAGAAGATGACATAGATTCTTGGCACTGAGGGGATTGAAGTAGTGAGAAAGTTGTATGGATAAATCTTATTCACATGGACAAGCACTTATGCTTCTCAATTGGTACCGAGACTTAAGAGTAGATATGAGAATTCATATATTCGTGTTACAGGCTTAGGAGTAGTCATGAAAATTCATGTATTTATATCGTATTTGTTTGTATAAAATATGTGTAAAATATAAATTTTGTTGTGTTAAATTCGTGTTGGCATGTCAAACATGAAACAAATTTTTTTATTTTCGTCAAATCTATAATAGTTTTTATTAAAATTTTAAACCATATCACTCTCATGATAC